GAAAGCACAAGGATTCCATCCCCCCTCCAAACACCCCAGTGCCCGGAAGACCTCATCCTAAAGCCCCACTTCTCAATATTTCTAACCTCTAATAGAAGCCACTGGAAGCAAGCCTTGTCATGTGACCCTGGAGACATGCGAAATTCCAACCGTAGCAACATACACTGCCTAAGAATTTCTGATTTGGTTCATAGAATAAGATACCATAATAGCCAGTAAAAATATTATTTTTCCAAACTTTCCCCAAGTTTAAATGTAGAAAACATCTGTTTCTGTTTCTAATCATTCATTTTCTTTGTCTCCCATGCTAAAGCCATTGCTTGCGTTTCACTAGTTTGGTGTAAAGCAGAATGGAACTCCTGAGTATTTGTTTCTCTTTCCAAAAACAAACAAAAAAATGTAGTTGTGAAAAACATTTAGCAGAATTGAAAATCCAGTTAATTCTACACAGACAGATGTCTCAGAGACTTTAACAATATATGCTCACAAACTCATTTATTTTTAGACACTTTGCCACATATACACGAAATTCAACTCTGTCTCTACTTGTATTAGTGCCTTTTTCCTGTGCTTGTCCTAGATTTGACTTAGTAGAAATGTTGCTTTTTAACAGTGAGCCTCCAGCTCTTTCTCTAACCAGCTTCTTACCTATGCGGTCTGCAATCCCCTTGGCCTATATTCCTACCTGTACAGATTCACTGAGTAAGGAAGTTGGAATCCTTGGAGCAATTATGGGACAGCGGAGAACCTAGGCACTAAGATAGACTCAGTTACAGCAGAGCCTGGCCTGAATATTGAACTTGATAGATGAAGGACTGGGAATGCTGTGTGCTTCTGAGCATTCAGGAGACTTTCCACGGACACCTTCAGCCACAGTTCCTTATCCTACTTGTAATAACTTTACATGGGGAATCTTTTGGATACCAACCTCAAGCATCTATGTCAGAATATCTGGAGCTGGGATGCTGTCAAAGATGTTTTAAAATGTCTCGTTGGTACCTAGCGTCGACAACAGAGAAGGGGAACAGAAACTGTATATGTTCATTTGACACATTTTGTGTGAGGCCAAGACCACTCTGAGTGCTTATTAAACATTAAGGGTTCTCTATTGGCCTAAGTCTTTGGTAACAGATGAGGCCTCAATTAAGTAGCTAGCCACTCTATTCCTGAGTGCTTTCAGTTTCCAGGTTCACACAGATAAGACGAACAGTATCCATGACAACAGCAGATGTGATTCATCTAATCCCTAGCTTTCAGTTCCTTTGGGACACTCTGTTCCCTAGGTTGACATTTGGGGAGGCTAATATACGCTCTCAGCCATCTGGCGTGGCTGGTAATTTGAACACTTCTTCATTTAGCACCTTTTTGACATTATGCTTGTAAGGCTGGGCCTTGCGCATTTCAGTTCACATGTACCTTTAAAAATGTCGCAATATTTGCATGGACTCTTGAAGTATTTACTGGTTGTTTATTGCATGGCTAATACTTCAAGGTTAATGCTTGCTTTCAAGGATCTTATATTCCAAGCATGTTGATACCCTAGTTTATATCAAGTTTTATTTTTAATTATTTGGGTTTTCATGTTTGTATATGGTTCTGTTTCAGAGTTCTCAAGAGACTCATACTAATATTATCTATTATTTGTATACCTACCTAATATCTGTCTTCTGTCATCTACCTACCAATTATCATCTATGTTTATCTATCTATCTATCTATCTATCTATCTATCTATCTATCTATCTACTATCTCTCCCTCCCTCCCTCCCTGCATCTATCTATCTATCTATCTATCTATCTATCTATCTATCTATCATCTATCTATCTATCTATCTATCTATCTATCTATCTATCTATCTATCGCTCATGTGCTTATAGAAGTTCATATCTGCATTTTTGCTGGCTGATGTGAGTTCCAGGGTGACCCACAGTTCCAATCTGAGGGCTGTAGCCCAGAAAACAGAGAGATTGAAGGAATACTGCTGGAGAATCGCCCCTTTCTTAGAAAGACTGTCAGGTTATTATTAGACTATCAGACAACTATTACTTCTGCTGATTAGATGAGGCAGATGGTGATCCACTTATTTAAAGATCTCTGACTCAGAAAATGCTCTCTGAAAAAACTCAGTCGCCATAGTGACACCTCTATGATGAAACAGTGTACCCCCAGGGCTCGCTGTGCTGACGACACATTGCTCAGTTGTTGTAGTCTTCCAGCTCACCTCAGTCTTACGTGGGAAATGTTGCCGTTTGCTTCATTGTCCACACAAGGAGCAGAAGAACTATAAATGTTAGGCAGTCTGATGAGTCACACGGCTAATAGATTGGTTCTGAGTTTGTACCAGATCTTCGTGACTCATAGCCTTTGAACATAAATTACAAAGCTTCACAAACATAGTTGGTTTATTATTTATCTTTTTTCAAGTTTTCATTGTCTGAGAGAGGCTGTTGGAGGGGGAAGGGTGGAAATGGCACCCTGCTGTCCCCGAGAAAGGATGGCGTCCCACCATTTGCCAGGTTTCATTTAATACTGTCTTGAGATGCTCCGGGAATTGCGTTCTCACATATTAAACTCGGAGAGAAGATCTATCTTTTTCCATTGGAAAATTTCATTAAAATTAAATGTGTCTCTGTGTTTTACTACTTAGAGTGGAAAGAAGGGTTTATAAACTGAAGATTTATAAAGCACCCTGAGACACTCAAGAGGGAGAAAAGTCTCCAAGTGGAAGTATTGTTAAGCTGCCTTAAATAATCGAAATCAATTAACTTTAATCCCTGGAACAATGTAAAATGCTAATATGAGTTCTTAGCCCCTTTAATTTAATTGCAGGGGTCGTATTTTGAGAACCAAAGTGACATTGCCTGCAGAGTTGGGCTTAAAATCAGAATGGGCATCATGATCAAAACCTCCACGTGAACTGAGGGGAGCACTCACAAACTGCCCTTCAAAATGCCAGTGTTCATCTGCACGACCCTGGCTCACTTAGGACTTAGTCTAAAGCCAGTGTTCGTCCTGTATGATCCTGGCTCACTTAGGGCTTAGTCTAAAGCCAGTGTTTGTCCTGTATGATCCTGGCTCACTTAGGGCTTAGTCTAAAGCCAGTGTTTGTCCTGTATGATCCTGGCTCACTTAGGGCTTAGTCTAAAGCCAGTGTTCGTCCTGCTCGACCCTGACTCATAGCGTTTAGTCTCATTAATTATTTAGGCCTGGAGAGCCGGCTGTGTCAATAAAGTGCTTGCTGCACAGGCGTGAGAAACCGAGTTCATCTCCTCAGCATTCACACACACACACCACACACACACACACCACACACACACACACCACACACACACACACCACACACACACACACACCACACACACACACACAGTACCTGTAGTACTGGGAGTCGGGGAGATAGACGCGTCTCTGGAATGCTCTGGCTTTACCTGAAGTGGCAAGCTCCAGGTTCCTTGAGAGACTGACTCCAAGAAGAAACCTTTGTCAACCTGGTCTTCACACATGTGTACACATGTATACCTATTCACACGTCTGTACATGTATCCAAACACACAGCCATACAATACCCCCAAATTCAGTTCACCAGAGATCATTCAAATCATTTACTGAGCACTTTTACTTAGCTGAAATTTTATTCATACAGTATATTTTGATTGTGTTCTTGCCTCTCCCAATTCCTCCCAGATGTTCCCCATCTCTCTACTTACCCAGCTTTATGTTTTTCTTTCTCTCTTTAAAACAAATTCACAACTCCTCCACAATAAGACTCAAAAATGCCAAAACAAAGCAAAATGAAAAAGGAGTCCACAAAATACCACTGAGCTCATTTCGTGTTAGCCAGCTAGTCCTTGGTTGGGAGCCTGCCCTGGAGTGTGGTTGGGAAAACTGATTTCCCTGTCTCTAAAAGCAGTTTCTTGGTTAGGGATGGGGCTTCTTGTCCAGTTCCTCTTAGTGTTGGGACCTGGATAACCCGAACCTGTGCAGTTCCTGTGTGTGTGCCGCTACAGTTTGTATGAGGTCATGTGTGAATCAGTCTACTGTGTCCAAAGGACACTGTTTCCTTGGAGTCTTCCATTACCTCTGGCTCTTACACTCTTCCTATTCCTCTCCCCTAAAGCTCCCTGAGCCCTAAGGGAGAGTTTGATGAAGACCTCCCATTTATGATTGGGTACTCCAAAGTCTCTCACTCTCTGCACACTGTGCAGTTGTGGTCTCTGCGTTAGTTCCCATCTAACCTGAGGAGAAGCGTTCCTGAACATAGGAAGTTTTGTCATGGTGATGGAGAAGTCAGCCACATGGAAGACAGATGAGAGCAGAAGCAAAACAGTGAAGAGAAGGTTTTTGTGGGAAATCACAGCGCCAACTGTGTTCAGCTCAGCAGCAGGGACACTGTCTCCGGAAACAAGTGCTCAACCACTGTGTCAGATACAGCCAAGGGAGAGTTTGCAATCCCAAGACACAAGTTTCTAATTTGCTGTATTTGAGAAAAGGAAACACCCAATTAGTCTCTGCTTCCCAACAAGACATCGTTGTTCCCTTCTTTCTCCAAGCCAAGCTCTTGACATCACCAATTAGAAGGGACAATCTCTGAAAATGCGGAAGCTATCAGGTTAGCTTCCTTCAACTTTAGAAGACAGAGAATAAGAAGCCTTAGAAAGGTATTGGGTACCATCTGCATGCTGTTCATGGTTAACCTCATTCTATTCCACAGCAGCCTCTGGCTGACCACACCTTACAGGCTGGGGAGCTGGAGCAGTGAGGCATCTAACACAGGAGAGCCCAAGACTCCTCCTCAGACCTCGAAGGCTTATATCTAGTCATTCTGCTCTCTCTCTGTGCTGTTCCGCCTCTTTGATGTACATAGATTAGCATGGATGTGCTAGCATAGTTCTTCCTTTGAATGTCTGCACTATAGTTGCATGCTGTTCTTTAGTGTGGTACCATCTAGGTTCTGAAATTGTGACAAAAATCATTAAATATGTTCCCTTTTCCCTATTAAGGAAAAAAATGTACTCAATTTCTCTGCTTGGAAGTCTACACAAAATAACCGTTCTGTGACTGTTGGTGCAACCATGCCATGACTGTTATGGGGCAGTCTGCTGCTTTCTAATTGGATTGATGGTTCATTCCTCAGGAGGGAATTCACACCAGATACTGTAAACCTGACCAGAAGGTACCGCTATTACTTTGCTAGATGGAAGTTCTGTGCCTGTTAAATTTCCTCCTGCATATTCATGTTTATTATTGTAGATCAGAGCTGCTGTCTGCTTCCTTCAGAGGAGCTTCCTTTCGCAGTGGGCAGTGATTACTGCAGAGACTCATAACCGGGCATTAAAGACCATAAAAATGCTCAGTCTTAAATGGGACATCTGCATCACCCCTCCGAGGCTGGGGGAGCATCATGGAGGAGGAGGTAGGAAGAATGAGAGGCAGAGGGAAGGGTGAGATGTTGTGCGATGCTGTCTTCTAGGCATGGCCTGGTTGTCACAGCCTTGGACATTCAGTAGTAGACTGCCTGCACAAAACCAGGTCATCAGCATCCTGTCTCTGGAGCAGGTCAAGGTCAAAGTGTGAGATATCCAACACATACAGTTCACTTCCCTACCAAGGGAGGAAAGAGAAGCTCAAGAGGCCCTGGCTCTTGTGAGTTTTTATAGGTAGTTAATGATTGTTGACAGAGGGAGAAAAAAGTCATGTAGACACAGGTAGGTTGTTCATGCTTCTGTCATTGCTCCTGTAGGAAAACCTAATTACCTTCATGGGCACTCAAATGCACACAGACATGTACCCACACATGCATGCACACACAAAATCACCATATCTGTGATTATTTTTCATTTTATCCTGGGTGCACAGAGTTCTTAAATATATATATACCTCATTAAATTAGAATCAGATATGGAAACAGTAGAATATAAGACCTAAAGCTTAAGTCCAATCTAATTTTGGAAATAGATTAATATAGCTGGAACATAACCTGTCATGCATAACAGCATCAAAAAGTGCCTGGAAGGTAGGTTGGACTATTTATGGTCGGACCCACACAAGCCTTGGTAGGGAAGTGATACTGTATGTGTTGGCTATCACTTTGACATTGACCTGCCCCAGAGACAGGATCTAGCATGTAGCCAATGCTTATTAAACCCCGAAGAGCCGCAAACTCTGGTGGGGCAATAAAGTTTTAATAGTCACTGCTGAGAATCACAGCGAAATTAGCATCTCAATGTTCTCATTTTTTAGTAATGAAACTAGTTTTGGGAAGATAACATAGAGGGATATTGGACAATGATTAACGTTACATTAGCTGTTCATAAAGGGAAAAACAAAGTTTCTGTGGAATTAGTGTGGTTCTGTAGAGGGAATGCTTCAGTAAATGCTGAATGGATGAATGAATGAATAATGAAATAAAGCATGTTGTATGTGTGTATGCACGCACATGCAATTGTGCACACTCATATCTGTTTTACTAGTTAATGATAAAAAGGTTAAAAAAGAACCAAATGAAAGTTTAATGTATTCACATCAAGCTCCCAGGTTCTGCGTTCAGAGGCCTGATGGGAAGCTGAATTCGGCGCTGCTTTCTCTTTATCTTTATTCTCCGCATTAAGCCTTTGCCTCCCTGCTCGAATCTTGCTCCCTAGTGCAATGCTGTCATAATGCGGGGAAGGCGATTGGAACGATGATATTAAAGAACAATTAGCATTTAACTGGATGTGAACGCAAGCATGAAACAATGTCCCCAGGGTGGAAGCCAGTGGGGAAACTTTCCTGAAGAAGAGAGAAGTCCTGAGGCAGAACAGATTTCAGGCTGCAAGTCTACACAGCACCACTGAGGCCTATGCTAGCCGAGGGACTTGTTCAGCACCTGGGAGAGCTCCTGCGCTGTCTGGCTGGGGGGCGGTTTAAAAGCAGGAGCAGGCTTAAGACAATCCTTTCAGGTTCCACAGGCTTCTTCCTGTCCCCCCATGTTTGTGTGATCTAACTCCCTGTGCCCTCCCTCTTCTGGGGGTCTCTCAAGCCATCTGCCCTTGGAGGTTTACCCTAAAGGAGACTGAGATGAGAAGAATTTTTTTTGCAGATTCATTATGAGAATGGTTTTAAAACAAACAATAAAAGGCAACTTTAAATTCTAATAAGTCATTGATTTGATTTAGTTATAAATCTGTGTGTGTGTGCACGTGCGCGTGACCTCACACTCTCCATTGTCAGCTTAATCTCCTATGCCTAGTCTGTAGCATTTTGGGCAGAGTTAAGACTTCTGATTGGTGTGTTCTGTCGAAAGTTTGTGCTCTCCCAATCAGCTTCTGCCCATTTTCACGTCTGGTTTAGCAGAGCCTTGTAGTAAGCATACACACAAATTTTCCTTCACGCCCTTCATTGTTGACTGGATGCTGACTCTTCTGCTCCTCTTTCATGTTCTCTGCTGTCTCTCAACTTTCACTTGCAGCAGGAAAGCAGATGCTCACTGCTGAGCCTGTTGCCAGGTGTGCTGCATCCGATAGGGAGATACTGGGAATGGTGGGAGACAGCTTCATTTTATTTTTTTAAAAAGCTTTTATCTCAGGAGGGCAAATCTCGAGAAGAAAAATGATAAAAAGAAGAGTGTATTTAAAAGATGATGTGAGGCCATGCATGAGAGGGCCTTCAGGTACTGTATCATGAATACTCACCAACTGTAGCATCAAGCAGCATTTGCTACCTGGAGGGATTTTGTCTTCAGGCATCTAGATGATAAGCGTTGCTATCAAAGTTCATCTGTATTTCTAAGTTCATCCATTTTGATGTGACAGTTTCTCCACCTAATTGTAAAACAAGGCTTAACTGGATTTGTGACTATCCAAGTTTATCAGCTATTTGCATTGCTTTTGATAGGCCTTGTCACTGGATGGTAAAATGTTACAGCTATGAAATTTGATACACATATTAATATACATGAAAACCCAGTCATTTTACAAAGCTAAACATTTACAATTTATCTTCATACAGAAAGAAATTTCATGATGCTACTCACTTAATGAGATTTACATATATTATTTTTAAACCGTGAGGGAATCTGGCCAAGAACAGTCCCTGCAACAATAGAGTTCTCAGCCTTTATGAATATAAATTTTTAAACGAGCAACTTGATAGGGCTTGAAAAACAAGCAAGAGCTTTGCTTTGCTTCATTATTGATTTTCAAAAGCTCCTCTTCTGAGATGTAAGTCAGAGAAAATAAATTGTTTCTCACATCGGGATATTTTTGACAAATATATCTATCCAAATAACAATCAACCATCATAAAAATATATGGCATTTTCATGACCTCTGAAATTTCTTCATGACCCTTTATGTCATCCCCTGTTCTCAGCCCTACAAAATAATTTGAGTTTTCAAGTTATCAAGGCATACTTTACATACAGGATAAGGCATCCATTTTTAGCATGCAGTTTGCTCTACTGTAGCCACTAATATTCCCTGTAATATGTAACATGTAAAGTGTAATATGCTCTCTGTAATGTTTTACTTTTGACTTGTCATTTATAATTCATCTTTTAAAACCTCGCAAATCATGTGGTTATATAAATAAGCATTTTTAGAAAATTTTCTTTGTTTTCTATGTATAGATAGTTCCATGCTTTTTGACCAGAAACTATGAGATAAAATATTTGTGATATCATGGGAAACCAGCACAAACCTAGCTGCTGAATTAGACTAAAGATACCATTAACTGATGCTATACACTGCCCATTGTGAAGACCCTGAAATACTGATGCTGTAAGCCACCCATCGCGAAGACTCTGAAATACTGGTACTAATATTGTTTTTAGCTGGTTGCATGTATATAATTATCTTAAAAGAGGTTGAATATCAATATTAATAAACAAATGCACAAATATGTACACACAGTTGACTTAATGTGTGGTATATATAGTTGCTGTGTGCCATTCAGGAACTTACACTAATGGCATTACCCAGACAAAGCTCATTTGAAGCTATCAGCATATTTCATGAGCTATTGATTTCTAAATGTCTTCCCAGTTTGGCAAAAAAATCAGATTTTTTTTGAGGTCAGTGCCAGTAATCCTTTTAATCAGGCAAGACGGATAATGGTTGACACATAGAACAGCACCATTGTTCAGTGATTCTCTCTGAACTGAAGTGTTTTTCCCTGGTGTGGGGAGTGAGACTCTGGAGATTCAAGAAACTGACAGAATTACAAGGTTTAGGAAGTTCATGAAGCTTACAAGACTTACAAAGTTCAGGAGGTTGCAAAGTTGTCAAGCCAATTTCCCAAGGTGGTATCCAGAGTAAACAGTTGCTAAGGAGAGGAGGAGACCCTGGTGGAGCTGCCTGCAAGTCCTGCAGGGAATTGTTGAAATGTGGGATTTCTAAACTATCACCTACACTGGGTGGGCTTTTCTGTAATTGAGTCATCCATGTTTTCACAAGAAACTTCTCACTTAGACTCCCAAGAAATTCATTAGCTCACCAAGCTAGACTGGGGTGGAATCGTGTCTTGGTGTGTTCTACAATGCCTCATCTGGGGTGAGTAGATGTTTTCTTCATGTTTTCCTGTGAAAAGCCACAGAAGAGTTTGCCCAAATATAAAGTAAACAGGATGGCTTTCCCCAGTTTGCATGTTGATTACCATGTGAATGCCGGTGTGTTCTACCAGTTTGCATATTGGCTACCATGTGAATGCTGGAAACACTCATTATAACTTTGAGATGTAGAACTCCAGAGCAAGTTTTTATGTAATGCTTCACTTACAATTTAGAAAAATATCAGTAAAAATTACAATCGTACAGTCTGTAGGTTTCATATAATAATCTATTGCAATTTTCCTCCTCTTCTATTTTCTTCTCCTCCTTTTCTTTCCTCCTTCTCCTCTTCCTCCATATTCTTCTTTGCCATAGATAGAGTCTCAGTTTGTAACATAGGCTGGGCCTCAAACTCAATGGCAATCCTCCTGCCTCAATCCACAAAGTTCTAGTATTTCAGGCATGGGCCACTATGCCTAGCATCTCTCTCAGTTCTTTTAAACAAACTTTTTGTGTCCTAAGGTGTTATGAGGATGAAGAAAGGCTTCTCTCAGTTTTTTCTCTGAATGGTCAGCACCAGGTCAGGGGAGATGAAATATGAAGTTAAGATAGGAATACAGAGCATTAACCTCTTAAAGAGAGAACTCTACCCAGAGTGTCATGGCAGCAGATGGAAAACATACGGAATTTCTGCTGGAAGGATCAGAGAAATAGCTTTCCAAAGGTAAGGATATTTTTGCTAATGGAAAGCCAGCTGGTTAGCTAGGCAGAGGAGGTCATCTGCTGGGTAGTTCTTCTAATCCCCAGTATCAAAGTTAGATTGTAATTTTTCAATGGAAACAGTTTATATGACAGAGAGATCCAAAATCTTAATATACAATTCAGTTCCTCCCTGTAGAAATTTAAATAGTACACGAGCCATTGTTCTGAGCATATTTTTGTACTATAAGCAAACAGTGATCGAAATAGAAAAAATCCAAACCAATTTTTTTTTGTATTTATTTTTTGGCATACACAGCCTTTGTCTCTCTGTCCCTGGGCCCTGTCCTTACACAAGTGCTCCCTGCATTGATCATGGATGCCAAAGGGAAACAGAACCCAAGAATAGAATTCCAAAGAAGGAGATTGGCAGAGTCCCTGGCCATATGCTCAAGACAGACATGTGCTATCATGCTTTGTCTGTGGGAGGCTCGCTTTCCTTCCTTCTTTGTTGGTCAGTTATTAATTCCTAGTACAGACTGACTTGTAATCAATGACGGCTTTCACAAGGCAAACAGGGTTTATAATTAATTGATTTTATTATATCTGATTCCCAATATAAAGTATAAAATTTTTCTTTATTGGAGAAATGCTTAGGGATTGGTGTGACTGCAACATAAGACACCTCTGGGGGTGTGTTTAGGCTTTTATGTGTCATGCTAAGGAATTTGGGTTTTATTATGAAAGGGAGATCAATTGATGAGTTTCAAAGAAGATTAAGGGACTATGCAATATAAATGTAGAAAAGTCCCTTGGCAGCAGAGTGAATATTGATTGATGTGCTGGGAAATGGAGAGGGAGCCCACTGAAGAGGCCATTATGATAATGAAAGCTGAAAGAAAGGCGCTAGGAATGTAAAGGACGGGCTGATAAAAGAACAGAGAATGAGTCGATTCAGTTATAAAGTGTGTGTGTGTGTGTGTGTGTGTGTGTGTGTGTGTGTGTGGTGAATATATGCATGCAGGGTGTCCAAATTAAGGTCTATCTTTTCTGAGTAAGATGGGAGAATGGGAAGCAGGCACACATTTTTGAAGGGAAGTAGTGGAAATGAGATGGTCCACATTTGCATCCCCCTTTGGACAGGGTTTTGTGTCCCAAACTGGCCACAGACTTCCCATGTAGCCAAAGGTTACTTTGAACTTCTGGTTTCTCTTGCCTCCATTTCCACAGTACTAGGATTACAGGTATGTACCAGTGCACCTGGTTTATGTGATTCTGGGAATTGAATCTAGGGGTTCACACATGCCACACAAATATCTACTGAGCCATATATCATCAGCAATTTGTCCACATTTTCATTATTTGACCATGTAGAATATATGAAATTAAATATTTTCATTAGAACCTAGAAGGCATTGAATCATTATGTTCTGATGCTCAGCACCTTTCACACACAGCTAAATGTTCTAACCAAGGGATCTTTTTTCTTGATTTTGGTTCATGAGGATTCCCAATATTAGGGATGCTGGGAATCAGAACAGAGGCACAGACTCTTCAGCAGTACATCTTCAGTTTTCTTCCTGGGACTCAGATGTCCTTTGTACTGGATGCTTTTCTTAGCATGTCAGAATAAATACCCAATGGAAGCAACTTGAGAAGATAGGCTTATTATGGCTCACAGTTCAGAAAGAAGAGTCCATCACGACAGGGAAGGCATGGCATTGGGGCTTGCTTGTGTCTGTGTGATGGAGATGTGAGGTAATTGGTCACGTCATGTAAGAGTGAAGAAGATAGACAAACCCAGAAGTAGGTCTGGGTTATAGCCCTCAAGGATCCATCTCTTGGAACCTACAATAACCTCCCAAGATAAGGTTTTAATCTGGGTAACAAGTTTTAAAGGCATGAGCCTAAGGGGGATATCTCATATTCAACCAAAAACACCCTCTGTTTCATTTCACGTCCTCAGTCATTAGTTATCTTCATTTTCTGTCTCTTATGTTTTATTGAAGTGTCTCATGTGCCTTGACATATAGAAGAATTCCCCCTAGTCTGTCTAGATGATTCTCCCGTCTTCTCTTCTCTTCATCCTGGTGTCAGCACAGGAAGGTGATTTTAATGAGGACAATAATGAGTTTCTGTGCTCTCTGGTCCTCAGTTGGGTTTGGACAATGGATGGCATCAACAGGATTTTAGGAGGTGGAAGGAAGATGAAGTGCTGTGTGGTTCGTTTTGAGTGTGTTTTGTTAACACATGGATGGGCAATGGTTGCATTTTCTGTGTGGAGGATTATAGCCGCATCCAAACCTAACAAGTACTGCTGGTTCTTAGGCCTGATTGAGGAATGCATTCATTCCATACTGTGGCTGTCCCCAGAGTGCATCATGGTTCCTTGTTTAAATTTCCTTTTGGAAGTGTCTCTATGTTAATATCCCCTTCATGTGTGTTTTGGGTGGTTCTGAGGGACTTGGCTGATGCAGTTTCCCATACCATTTCTTCCTTGTGCAAGGACGTATTCATTGGGAGAAAAGAAAGTTAATTGGATAACCACATTGGAGAGAAATAGACAAGGCAGAAATTTCTGGGGGAAAAATTTATTTTTGCCATTTTTTCATGATGTCACTGTGTGTTCTAACTCTCAGAATTCTCTTTACTATAGTCATCACATTGGTTGAACAGCAATGACATTGGATAGAAGGGACAGCTTCTGTGCTATCTACCAATCCCAGGATTCTTAAGTCCCATGGTAGGAGCCAGTACAGCTCATATGTGCTTAAAAGAAAACTGTCCCATCACTGACAGAGACTAAGACAACTGTTGCATTAAACCACGTGCATCCAACCAAGAGTCTTCTAGCCTCCTTGTAAGGAAGCCCTAGAGATCCATGCTCCCTCCTTGCTAACATCCACAGCCATGCAGTATCTGGCTCCAGTCCACTGTGTCTGTTTCATTATTCCATTTGCATCTATTTCCGTCAGCTCTCTAAGAAGGCCCCAGATATCCAGGTCAGTCTTCCTCGTCCGCTCTCTAAACCCCACAGAGGACCATATGCTCGCACTGGGTTCTCTTCTCCCCTCCTGCTCTGGTCCCTGCAATTCTACATTTCCCTCTGGCCTTCTGGCTCTGTTAGAGGCAAAGCCTCCCACGTCTTCAATTTATTATCTGGAGGCTTTACTTTTCCTCAGTCTGAGGGAAGCCTTGTTCTGTCAACCTTCCTGTGTCCAGCTATGTCAAATGCTGGTCACTCGCCCCCTCCCCTTCATCACTGAACCTTCATGTGGAGAATTTTACTGCTGTTTCCACACAACCCTCCATCTCCAACGTTTAATCTTGAATCTTGCATCATCATTTATTCCCCACTTTCTCTTAATCACGGTCACATGACCCTCCAGGCATTTCCTCTTACTTTCCTCCAGTTTTACTTTTATTTCCTTCCTGTTACATCCAATATGCTCATGGCTCTTGCCAATTTTAATATGAACATAAACCATCTAAGAAAACTGGATCCAATTAATTTTCAGTGATTGCTTCTAGCATCTTACAAGGTTTTGTTTGTATCCAGACTTTGTGA